TGGCTGATGCCCATGAAGGGAGTCATCATGCGAGTCCTGTCCAGGCTGCCGATGCTGTTCATGGGGTGAATGCCTGTCACCCCCACCGTCATGGGCATGGAGGCCAAGGGCCCCGGGTGCACACTGGACGAGGAGCTGGGAGGGGGCGGCTCCGAGGACCGGTGAGCCTGGGGGGCCTCCGGAGGGAGGTCGTGGTCTTCCTTGCGCTCCTCCTTGACCTTGACCTCTGAGTTCTTCTTGGGATTCTCATAGGCCGGCTCGCTCTTGCGCTGCTCAGCCTCGCGGCTCGAGGTGCTGCTGGGCCTGGTGCTCTCCACGACGGGGGTCCGCACGTAGGGTGACGGCACCCGGGCCAGCTGCTTGGCCTCTTCGCCCACGGCTCGCCCCTCGTGGCCATGGCTGTCCTTCTCGGGCAGGTGGCCCTCCTTCGCCTTGTGCTCCTCAGCGGTCAGGTCCTTGCGGGACTCCTGGTGGTCCCTCTCCCTCTCTTTGGATTTGTCTTTCTCGCGAGCCTCAGTGTTCAGATGACCCCTGATCTGTTCAGTGGAGCTGCGGGTGTGGCCCAGGGTGCTCACTGGGAGAATGGGTGCTGGTGAAGGGTGGCTGGAGTGTCTTTTCTCAACACTTTCCCTGGGGAAGAAAGAGGGAAACGGGAAGCAAGTGAAACGGGCTTGTCAGCCTGGCAAGGGGCTGCCAATGAAATGGTGGCGTGAAAAGGACGGGCTCGGGTCTGGTTCCCATGGTCGCCGAGGCAGCCGGATGTGCCTTTTGTATGACAAAACCAGCCACCCTGACCTTACTTACCTAGACTGTAGAAGCAGCTTTATAAGGGTGAAGCGCTAGGGATAAGGGTGAACGGGAGGGTCTGAGGGGGAAAATAATTTTCTCTACATGTAAGGGTCACGTGTCTCAATCAAGACCACAGAGGAAGAGCTTTCAGAAAGCCAAAATGACCCGATGCGGTTAAGGAGTCAGTGATGTGGCAATACAGCCAGCCTCAGGACCAGTGCCGAGAATAAAGTTGTAAGAGCCCAAACACAAACATGACCTTCCATCCAACTCTGCGATACAGAGCTCGTGGGAGGAAGAGTTTAATGTGACTATTATGGGAGCTTCTCTCTCTTGACATCTGGACAAACAGCTGGTTTCAGAGTAAAGGACTCAGAGACGGCACAATCTCCAAGATGTAGTGTATGAGGGGGTTTGAAAGGAAACAATCTTTCGGGTTGCAAAAAGCTACGTTTGCATTAGGAAGGACAAGAAAGCTAACATCCGATGAGAAGAAGATGGAGAAAGCCAGTAGGAAACAGACACGAAACCTCATGGGCGAAGTGGAGAACAATTTTAAGAGCATCTGTCAATGAAAATGTGAAAGAAGAATTTGAGAGACCTGTCTCAGGCTTAAGAGTACTGGGCACGAAATGCAGAGCAGCAGAATGACAAGGTAAAGCCTGAAGAGGGAAGGTCGAGTAAGAAAATGCAGCGAGTCTTGGGCAGCACCAGGCAGATGTGGGAAGCTGAGGGGCCGCAGCAATCTTGAGAAGAACACTACCCATTCTGTTTCTAGCCCACCTGCAGAGGCTAAGAAGGACATCTTTAAAAGGTAAGATTAAAGAACAGTGTATTTTACTAGGTTTCCTGACTTTAATCCGAAAGGCCATTTGACTCCGTCAAGAAAAACGTGAGAAGGCGTGCTGCCACATCCTGTTTTCTCCTCTTGGCAGCCTCGCTACGTACGGACAGCCCCTGGGCTAGGGCACGTCCACGCTGGATGTGCCCCACTCTGGCAGTCCATAGCTCAGAGCCGCACATTACAGATGGTCTTCCCGCTGGCTAAGAGATTTTTATCATACTGCGCTGAAGGAATATTCGTCTTTTTCTTTAAGAAAGAAATCAGTTAGCGTGATGGCCTAGGAGGAATACTGACTAATCTGCCACATTTAGAGACTGCAAAGTTGAATTCTTTTAAATCACAAAGATACACACACATATACACACGATATACACGATAAAGAAAAATTAAAGACTGGGATCATATTTGAGTCTGAAGTACCAAAAGGAAATTGTTGTTAGGTATTTTCCGTCAAGCGGATTTTGTGTATTCCTTATCAGTTCGTTCAAAGTGAAAATATCCTGAAGGAAGAAAAAGGGACATGTTGTCAAGAATGCTTAAGACATTCTTCAGGAAAAAACACTGTGAGACATTTTCCTCTTTAAGGCTACTCCTTTTTTAGGCATGGGTTACCAAGTACAGACATAAAAATGGTTAGTAAAATTAATTATCCACTGGAAAACCAAAACCAAAACCAAAAATCCTCGTTGATGTTTCACTAAGTCTAGGTTAGCAAACTTTTATTAGTCACCTGTGAGGATTTGAGTTTGAACAAAATTTCAGAAAAATATGATGAGACAATGCAAACATGACTTTCTAGAAGAAAACAAAAAGAAAGAGAGAGAAAGAGAGAGAAAAACCTATGGATGATTTAATGGACTGCACGAACTTGAAAGCAAACATGGTACTGATTCATGCCGTGTGCGTTTGGTCCAACACTCCAACTATCTTTCAGAGAAAGATTCATATCTGGATGCGCTAACGCTCACAGGGGCTTTGGAGGCTCTACCTGTGTGACTGTGTCTGAGTCGGGAGCGTCTCGTCTCACTCTGCTACGGCTGTGTCCTACTGTCACGATGCACTCTGGGACATGGTGGGCCTGGGCACTGAGCTGGCCCCGGCTGTGCACGGACGGAGCCGAGGCTCTGGGGCCAGCTGAAGCACAAGGCTGGGACAGGGAGGGTGGATGGCCAGTTCTCGGCACAGAGCGGGCTCCCCCAGTGGGACTCGAGAGCGGTTTCTTTCCGTACCTTTCTTTGTCATCTTTACTAACAGATGAGTCTCGTTTATCTACATCTCTATCTCTGTCATGAGCTGCAGCGGACGCGCTACGCTCCAGCTCCCCTGGCTTCAGCCAGGGCGGAGGGGTCGGGAACGACGGAGGCGTTCGGTGCAGCCGGTTCCAGGGCTCGTGAGGGCTGCTAAAGTTCTGCACACTGGGGCCATCCTTGTGGCCGAACATTGAGTTGGGTGCTGAAATGGTGAAGTGGAGAACAAAAAGGTTTAAGAGAAATTATATAATCTGCTGTAATGAAGGTACTTACCAAAAAACTTTTAACAGCATTCAGAGTTAAAATGAATACATATTATTGGGAGCTGGAAAAGGAAAGGAGATTAACAAATTCATTAGAGGAACGCTTCTCCTACACTGAGATGTAGCTCACAGCTTTTTCTTTTTTTTCTTTTTTAACCAAAGGCCAAGGGGTGGGAGGGGGAAGATTAAACAGGAAAGGGAAATGGGTATCGAGATTACCTAATTAAACACATCTGTGCATGCAGGAGTCCCGAGCATGCAGAAGGGTGTGTTCTGATGGTGTGACTTAGATTAATAATGCTCGACTCAGAGCAGAATTCAGGGTTATCCGCTACCTACTATAACCCTGCTAATGTGACTGCCACTCGTTCCACAACTTTAGCAAACTAAAACGAGTGTCACCAGACACCAGATAGGGCCCTGACCTCAACAGACGGATGCATAAGGTCTCCGCTCTAGACGGAATTGGGACGGCTGCTTACAGCTGCATTTTAGGTCTCCTGTACCCGGAGACTGTGACATATGGATGGCATGAAAGGAAACAAGTTAAATGTGTTTTAATCACTGACTAAATGTTTAGAACATGAACAGGTGTTGCAACTCTTTTCCTTTTTGAGACAGACTTTTTAGTAGTAGAAAATAACACAATCCAGGTTATGGAGCACGAAATGTTGTCAGTTCTTGGCTCTCCTGAGTTTCACTGGGCTTTTTCAATCCCACTAATGCCAAAGGCAAGATGAAATTTAAAAGTTGTTTTCACTTCTAATGGGAGTTGTAGCTGGAGTCTGGGATGGTAGAGAAGAATGTGGATGAAACTGAATTTTAGCAAACTTTCTGGAGTCAATTAACTACCTTACCTCTCCTGACCCTCGGTAACATACATGAACAGCGGACTATCCTTAAAACATTGGTTTTGATGTAAATGCACACTTCTACCTAGATCCATTGTTTAGGCCTGCTTTTGCAACGATATAACCTCGATTTATTTCCCAGGAGAGTACTTTCCTTTTATCTGGAAAGGTCTTGGACAACAGACAGGTCAGAGGAGGTAAATGGTCCGTGGCAGAGTGTAAAAAGTTAGAGGTACTCACTAACTGAAGGGTTTCCAAGGCCCCCGAAGGCGTTGCCACCAACCGCTGCGAGGCCAGTGAACGTAGACGGCCGGTTGAAAGGCTCTGTGAACGAGATGGGGAGGACATGGCTGCAGGATGCTGCTGTGTAAGGGACGGCAGGGCTTCCTGGGAGCCTGGTGGGGTGATGCAGGCTCCTCGCCCCCTACACTCAGACCTCATCGGTCTCACTTCTATCGGATCAGGCAAAAGATTTTCACTACACTTGGCCTGAGGCATAGGATTAGCAAAATAGTCACACAAGCTATTTTCTAAGAACTATGCAATTTGCCCCATTTCTCTTTTGCCAGGTGGGGGACACGGCTTACACCACATGTTCTAAGATGTCTTCCTGCCTTGTCTCCCCTCTTCCGGGAATGTGCTCTGTAGGTGCTAATGAACAGAAATAAGATAACATCTTAAAATAAATAAATCAATGATGAAGTCTAAAGGCTCACGCATTTACACACCCTGTGACTGGGCACGCCACCGGCTGCACCTGCTTGTACGCGTGCAGAAAATATCAAATCAGTTAACGGCCACGAATAAAGCTGCCCCTTTACCAGGGACTGTAACGTCTTAGTAGGGAGGTGAAATGTAAAGTGATTAAAAATAGTGGGTAATGACTCTTCATAACATCATCTTGTCTGTCTGTCCACCTACAGGAGGTGCCCACACATATGGGACAGGAGTTCACCCTCTTCCTCCACTGGGCGAGAACAGGCTGCTGTCAACGTGGGTCCCCTGAGGTACGGAGCGTGGCTTTCACTCACCGCACCATCCATCGTTTCAGACAGAACTACTACTGAATACAGACCTATACACCTTTAAGAACGTGCTATCAGAGGTGCTGAAATCCTGAAGATGGAGGACACATATTCAAACATCTACAAGATCACCATCATCTCCCTAGTAGTAAGTGAGGTTTCTAAGACAACAGTCAACTCGCCAGGAAGTGCGGCAGGAGTGCAGTAAACAAAGGCTTTCTGAAATACACACGTCATTTCCCGTCACCTTGGGCAACTCACCTAGGTGAGCAGCAGGGTTGAGGAAGTTGCTGTGATGAGGAGGTGGCCCAAAAGGGGTCCCAGTTGGATGTGCAGCACCTGTGAAGTCAAACATGACAGAATTAGATTTCCTAGAAAGCCAACTTCTACCATGCCTAAGGACCCCATGAGAGAATGCGTTAAAGTAAGGACATGCCTAGAGTCCCCCCGGGCAACACAGCAGGGAAGAAATGTGCTTGTTAGGAAGCAGAAAATAAATCACCCCCTTTCCTCTTCCTGAGCTGGGCTGGTCACCACCAAGAAGAGCTGTCACTTTTGCGGTGCCGACACACAGTATAGGAAACACTGAGAAACACTACCGGTGATGGTGGCGGAGGTTCTATAACCAAATGAGTTTGGAGAAACGCCAGGCTAGAAATGTAAACAGGGTTCTTCACTGAAGGACTGTGAGCCATGGCTATGTTCACAGGTTCATTCATTCGCTCAGAGGGGAACATTTGGCCATGGACTATTTTCTTCATAGAGCATCTCGGGAAGCAAGTATTTCCCTTCGAGAAACACTGTTCTACAAACTGTACACTCTATAATTCTTGGCTTAGGAGCAGCTGTCATGAAGCTGCACATCTTTTCCTGAAAATGTGTTAGTTGTCATGGCCACACTGAAGGGCATTATAAGACTCAGTCCTGTGCAACTCGGGGCTGTGAGTTATATACCAGGTTATGGGAGAGGAAGTCCTCCAATTTCTCTCAGTCTCTGGTGCCGGGAAGAGCTAGTTTACTCATCTGTTCTTGGGTACCAGTAATCTTATAACTGGCTCCATTAGTCTTTGCCCACCAGAAAGCTCAGCTCTAACTTAGTGGTCTTCTTCCCTTTGTTTTTCCTTTTATCCACATTTCCTCCTCTACCTTATATTTTGTTTTAAACAGTACATATTTCTTTAAGAGGCCTCAAATCTTTTTCTTGAAGAAAGATGAGAAAGGAAAGAGGGCAAGAGGGACAGTGTGTATGCATGTCAGCTTGGGAAGGATAGTATTTCTAAGAGCTTAGGGCATCAAATTGGCTTGTGAATGTGCAGCTGATAGTTCACGAGGCAAGCTCTCTGGGAGGCAGGCTTGGCTCCAGACAAGAGACTGGCCAACGTCATCTGAAGAAGCCTCTTTAGTTCATTTCAGGCATTAGTATCCAATGGCAAGACTAAAGTGGCTGAATTTAACAAGCGTGTGCAAATTATACATACCAGTTAAAAATTTTGCCAAATAACCACTTGGGGCAAAATACAATATTGTTTTTACACTGTAAAAGATTATCTTCCAGAACGGAAGTAAAACAGGGCCTGAATGAATTTACTAATAACTATTTCATAATCCCTTGCATTCTAAGTTCTTATAAACAAGTATAAGTTCCTTCAGGAAGATGGAGTGAATGGAGGAAGGTCACCCTCCCAAAAGCCTATAAACTCAATTTATGTTCTGGATTGTTGCTCTCCAGCCTGCAAGGGCCTGTGGGCCTGGGGTGTGGAGGAGCCACATGGCAATGGTGCACATCTGTCCTGGTCACGGTGTCCCAGAACTGGAAGGCACCTGAGCAGTTCTCTGTTCAGCCCTAGGTGGTGACTTATTCTCCACACAGAACGTGCAAAAATGATACCCCATCTTCGGAGAGCGGATGGAGCCCAGCGTATTCGTTAGGTATTAACAGTATTGCCAGCTAAATAAAAATTTGGCTGCATGCTGTCTGTGTAGTATAAGCTAATTAATGCTTCCATGAAGACGGGAGCTTTGTTCAGCCCAGGGCCCCTAGGGTACCTTGCAGTTCCAGAATTACTGAAGTAGAAGAAGCCAATTCATCCGCTTGGCTCAAATGGAAGCCAGGGAGAAATCTCTCTGTTTCTCTCCAAAAATTGCTCTTAATGTAGCTCTGTCTCAGAGCCTAGGTGCCATGGTAACAAAGCCTTCAAATATGTCCCTAGACAGAACTGACAGAAAAACCTGAGACCCTAACAAATTCCATCTGCCCTCAAGGGTGATTCCTTTGCTTTGGCAACAAAGCCCATTAAAGTGATGATTTCTTGCAATGTGGGTGTTTCTCTCTTCCTGAATGGAAGAGCTGTAGTTCCACCAAAATGAGTCTTGGATAAAAGCCTGGGAAGGCAGCAGGCAGGATGGGTTTGAAACTTGTTCCCTAAGGATGAGAAGTAGAGGGCCCCTTGGATAGTCATGTCCAGAAAAACAAATTCTACTTAGCACAGCGGGTATTAAGTTATGGAGCTGGCCACTAGAGCGAGCTCAGTGGAGTCATTTACAAGTGTCCCAAAATAGTTTTAGAAAAGACTGAATGATAAGGAAACTCTGATACAGGGAGGGTTGTTCTCTACCTGATACTCCTCATAGCCGCTGCCTTTTGTCCGCATGTGCCCGAAGCAGAAGCGCAGCGCTATCTGAGCAGTGATCCTCAGCACCCGCACCCCACCCCAGGCTCCGGCACACCTAAGGGTCACTTGGGAGTGTGCGTTCTAGGAAGCTGACGAACAGATCTCTTGGGTGTTTTACGCCCTGTCCCTGTCTAAATTTTGACTCCCCCAAAACTTAACTACTAATATCCTGCTGTTGACCAGATGCCTTATCCATAATATAAAGTCGATGAACTCGATAAAAGTATTATTAAGAAAACACATTTACAGTACTGTATGTATTCACTGAGAAAAAGATCCACGTATAAGTGAACCCACATAGTTCAAACCGTGTTGTTTGAGGGTCAACTGTATTTCTTTACCTTCTTCTACCCTTAAGACACAGTATGACCGAGCGTCATGGTGCACAATTACTGAGTGCTCTGTGGGCGCCAGCAGAAATGGCAGCCACATCCTTACAAAAGTCCTCGCCTTACTGCCTTCTGGTTTGCCCTTGCAAGCATTCTGATCTTTTTTCAATAGTTTGACGTGCTTATGAGTTATACTGGCTTAATATAGAAGCAAATAATGAGCTGAAGCAATATGAGTCCCCTAAGGAAAAGATGATCTTTTTTTCCTTCTTAATGAAAGAGGGCACATCAATGAAGGAAGGTCCACTGCCCTAGATGTGCTGCGATGTGGCCTTGCAAGCCCGCACAAATCGTATCATTTTAGGGAGTGATTGAACAGTGGGCCAGAGCACAAATATAATTTATTGAGCTGCCCGAGAAGGACATTTCTCAGCTCTTCCCTGCCCCTCTGAACTCACCAGCGGCAGAGAACAAAGTCGAAGGCCGTGCCAGGTCATGGGGGTGGTGGATGGCTCCAAAGAGACTGGGGCCTGGAGGACGGCTCAGGAACTCGGGTTTCAGTCCGAAGTCCAGTTTATGTGGGTCTGACTGCATCTGTTTCTAAAGCAGCAAGGGAGAGAATAAAAGATGACACCCCAAGAGAAACAACAGAGAATAAAGTCACTAACGAAGAGGCTGAGACAGAGAGGAAACTGAACGATGCACTCGGGCTCCAAGCCCGAGTCAGGTTCAAGTTTACGAATGCCGTGAGGACACGGCAACCCACACACCAGTTGACCCTCAATGCCAGAAGAGCAGGTCAGCCTAAGAGAGTGCTTGCTATTGGGTATTGCCTTTCAAGTCAGAAATGTCAAGCGGCAAAACTAGTGTTCACTCTTTGAGGTTACACGGTTTGAAGAAGAAAACCATATCCTATTTAATCAAATCACCGCCCCTCCCAAGCAGCTTATTATTTGCTGTGAAGGGCCATTTTAGTGAGTTTTTAAATGATAGTATTTTATTAGGAATTCTGCCCGAGTAATCTTCTGTGTAAATTAATTGTTTAATGACTCTTTGCCATACTCTAATAGATCACAGTACATTAGTAACCGAAAGTTATAAAGAAATATTTGCATGCCTACAAGCTAATTTTCAAATGATCACTGTTACATAATTTTAAAAAACAAACAGAAACTAAGTAGGGATATCAATTTAACTAATAGGGGGTCTTTCTTTGCCTACTACCCCCAATTACTTGAGAAAGAAGAGATCAGTCCAAACCAGTAAACCACCAAGAACCTCATGTGAAGACGTGAAGTTCTTGCCATCGACTGCGGTCACTCCTCTTATTTATATACCCACCCTCGAGCTGATCCGTCAGCTCACCCTCCTCTAAAGCTGTTGAATTGGCTCCTAATCTGCCTCTTGATTCCTTCACCCAGCATCCTTCTTGAGGCCCGCAGCCTCTCAAATAGCATGGTTTCAAAGTTGCCCCACCTTCTTGATTCTCAATAGCCTTCTCGGAATCAGTTTCACACCTCCTTGGCCAAGCAGCAGCACCCCGCCAGGCAGGGGATCCAAAGCTCAAGTTTCCCTTCCCTTGCCACACCTCTCTGCTTTCCAGGCCCCGACTCCTTCATAGCCCTTAGCCTGCTTCTGACTCCCATGCTTCCAGTTTCTTAGACGTATCTGATGCTCTCAGTCCATTTGGCTCCAGTCTACCTCAACTGCCCCATGTTCTGCTATACATAAATCCTTGTTCACTGTACAATAAAGTCAACAAGGTGGCAGCTAATCCAGCATGTGCGAGAATCGGAGACAAGTCTGCTATTCCCTCACTAAGAAAGGTCATCCCACTCATCCATCATACCTATTTAAAATGAAACCTACCTGGCACCTCAAACTGGAAACAATCCCCCTTGAAGCAGACAGCACGGTCATCATTTTTTTATGCACATACTGATCCTCCCTACTGAACCCTAATCAACTAGATATCAGGATATATGAGTGCCCGCTTAGCCTGGCACAATAAGGAGCCAGCAGGCAGTAGGCTCTCTCAATAAATACTTGGTAAGTGACTAAAAGAATGAGTAAATGAACATTAAAGAAAAAGGTACCAATGGAGCTTGTGGAGTACAAAGAGTTTGCTGGAAAGGGAAGGTGAACAGCTATCTCATGTGTAAGGTCTTCCTAACTGAACTGGGATAATGAAGGTTTTAGCCACCAGAGACACTTGCATGGAAAAGAAGTTGCCAAAGGGGCACACACAACATCCTTCATCACTTTTAACCACAGGAGTTACAGAAGGAAATGTCTTACCTATCACTAACCATATCATCCAGAACACAAAGTGAATGGAACTAAGCGTCAAAGTCTAGTTAGCTCTTCACAGTACACACATTTTCTAACTGAGGTTAGAAACCATCAGGTTTCTAATTAAACCTCACCTAACAATAAAAGTGAGCAAAACTCTCTGATGGGGTGTTATGAGAAACAGAAGGTATTTGGCACCAAAACAAATATCTTAGTGACCTCATTTGCTGAAGTTGGTTTTTTAAAAAAGTCATTTAACCGTGTTTTAGAAAAACATTTCTGTGATGACTAGCTCTCTCTCCATGTCTATTCTTTTATTATTCTCATAATGGCTCCCAAATGCTGTTAGGACTAAAAGCTTATTATTGAAAAATAGATTAACTGAAGCTTATGGGAACTGACTGGTTGTTTACTCCCATATTTCTAAGCATGGTTACCCAGACTGTAAACACCCAGACTATAAAATCTGGACTAGTCTGTTACTTTGTTCCCTAAGCCAACCAGTGATACCATATTTGGTCACCTGCAAGAGTTCCTGATCTCTTCCCTACTGTATCATAAAGGCCTGGTAAAGCAGGGAATGTATTTTTCTGCCTGATGAAAATAGATAAAAAAGAAAAATCCTCTGCAGATAGGAAAGGTAACTGGACAGACGATGGTTCTGACAAGTACTGACTATATTCTTAACCACTGACATGTCATCGGGAGGACTCATTAGTGTGGAAAGGTCACTGCAAACCAAATATGACTTCTATAAGAGTCATTTTTAGTACTACGCTTTGCTAATGGAAGTGCCATAGCATCATATAGGGTATAACTTACTTGATCATTTTCCAAAACCGTAAAATGAAAAGAATGCACCAATTCTTACAGGAAAGAAAACTTTCACATATAGCTCCTCCCACTTGGCTCCACTCCACCTCAAACTCCTTTCTGTTCGGCTTTAAATAAATCTTTGTCCCGCTGTACAATAAAGTCAACAAAGAGGCATGCGGTCCACATATTTTCCCAAAACCTTTATTTCAGGAGCTAACCTATATTTAAGCTCTTTAGATCAGCAGGATAACAAAATCATTTTTTTTTTTAAAGGAAAAGTATCAGGGAGTTATTGGTTTGCTTCCTTTTTGTCATTTTGTGGTCGTTTCCCTAATTAATAGCAAGATTTCCAAATAGCTTTTCCAAGAGATACTTGATCTTTCTGGCCAGTGAGTCTTTAGAATCCATTTAAATACCTCCTTAGTAGGGTGATCACGCACCCTCGAGACTCGGTCCCCGAACTCCCCCGAAGAGAAAAAGGCAAGACTGACCTTGACTTTCTGTTGGTGGTGGTAGATCTGCCAGGCGATGTGAACATGCATAGCACACCACTTCCCTGGTTTCTGGAACAAGAAAGAGCAACATGGTCAGAAGGAAGACCTTTCTGAGAAAACTGTCTTCAATTTCCCCAAAGCTTTCAGCAGCTTTTGGCTGCAGAGGCTTTTTTCACAAAACAAGAGTGCTCTCTGTTCCCTCTAAGTGCCTTCTGCCAGCAGCTCTCCAGTGCCCAGGCCTGAGGGTGCCACAGTCAGTGCCACTTCTCCCCCTGCGGGAGCCTGAGCTGGCGGCTACCCCTCAGAAAACCACATTTGACGAGGACCTCCCCGGTTACCAAGGATAAGATGGCAAAAGCCCGAAGCCCACTATGTGTCTCTTCTCTTTCTTTTCTGGAGCCAGCTGGCAGACCTGGTAGAGTGGGAAGCCCTGCTTAACAAGCGGCCATGCTATAATGCAAATCGGCTGTTCAAAAGAGCTAATTAGTGAATGTCTGTGAATCGGTTCAAAACAAGAGAGGGGCCAGAACCTGTGTAACCTCCCCCAACACTGGTTATTTTTTAACCCTCAAAGCAAAACATAGAAATTCACATTTTTATTGAAGCCCAAGTTCCTATCAGTGCTTTACTAACAGTCAACTACCCATTCATTGTTTACTGTTAAGTAAGAAGAGAAACACAGAAAAGAACTCATCTCCTCCTACTATGTAGGCCTCTGCAGATATCAAGTTCTCCCTCCACCTTCTGGGAGTACATCAATCCACGTCTCTCAAATTAGTTCATGTCTTTAAAAGCACTAGAGTAACTGTATGTTCTGTCTTACCACCTGGAGGGTAGGGACCATCTCTTTCCATTTCGTTTGTATTCCTGCTATGTCATCTACCCATAAGCTCCGAATGTGCACTCAACAACTACAGGATGGAGGAGGGGAAACGCTGCCCCATTCCTACACTGGCAAAGGACAGACACTTCCGGTTTCTACATTAAGGAGCTGATTCTGAAATATATACTTAAATCCAAGGCTGGGGTCAGTTTTCTTCTCTTATAATGAAACTATGGGTCATTGAAATCACCCAACTGATGACACAATCCTTTTTTCTCTTTTTGAGAAACTGAATTATCTGATTTTACGTACCAGAAATGGGTTAAGTATAGGAGAAAATCTACTACCCATCCATCTTCCAGCCAACCATCCATCTCCCAACCTTCCCAACCGAGTAAGCCAGCACTTATTCAGAGGTCATCTGCTGGCCACGCTCCAGACCTCTTGAGATGTTAACCAACCAGTGAGTATGGTAACCCCTTCCTGGGCCAGAGAAGTAAGTCAAATGGCTGCGACAAGTAAATATCACTTAATGCAGAATGAGGCGGCCACCAGTCAAAATAAACAGACCCAGATATATACTTTCTAGGTGCAAGAGAGACAGTAAAACTCAGTGAAATTCTAATTTCAACCACTATCTTCACTACAAGTTCCCACTAGTCGAACTTTTTACCACAACTGCCAACAAGAGAATCTGGCTCAGTTGAATTTTATCTATTAGCTTTACCTCAACAGCCTGGCTTCCTCCAAACTCGAAGCAAAACAATTTAGACCATTTTCAATCATACTGCCTAAGAACCTCAACCCAACGAAAATGTCATTCCAACATTTTATTCCAACGTGCTGTGGCTTGTTTCCTCATAATGGATTTACATTTTTAACCCACAGGGAGTCAAATGGAGGTTGCAAAAACAGTTCCAGAAGAAGCTTTCTTACCCTTAACATAGGTCTGAAAGGATCTGTCAACTGTGAAGAGAAAATGACAACTTGGTTACATGCCTGTCACTCAAACAATTGCTCTAATTAACAAATTTGTAGTGCTTCATTAGGAGGGGAAATTAAAATGTTAGAATTTTACTTTTAAATGAAGCCCTTTTAGAGAATAATTAACCCATTTCACACTATCAAAAGTGCCAGTGTCCCCTCCCCCACTCCACAAGCGTTCATACATACGCTGACAAGCCCCCATGAACAAGTTCAATCAATGCCAATTTGCCCCCTGGCAACATTTTTTGCTCACATTACACATCTGAAGAGTTTCGCTATCTTGAGCGGCCCTTCCAAACCACAGTGAACGAGTCTGAGGGAGGGAGAACGGCCGTCAGACTGTGGCCTGGAAGGTGGATACTAGTGCGTGTCTGGGAGAAGTGTCCTTTCCAGACACACAGTCGAGCTAGGCTATCTTCACCAACGCCCTTAACTTGATGACTGCACGTTACTTAGAGGTATTAGACATTTTAAAGAAGTTCACTAAACATCATAAAGATACTTACATAGTTGAGTCATTTTAAACTTCTACCTAACTCTGGTCATCAATTTCTGACTGCCCTTACCCAGGGAAAAAGACAATATTGTAAAAGGTGATCATTTTTCACATTTACTACAAAGATGAATGTAAATGACAATCAATGAAACAAGATTATGTCTATTGTATAACTTTAAATTCTTTTGGGGGAGTAGGTAGACGCATACATTATGAATAAATAACATAACCAAAGCATAATGGATATTTTATTTAGCTCTAGAGCGCAAAAAGGTCCCCACCATATTAAAAGTAGAGGGCCAGAATGTGGTGCAGTGACTTCTTGACCCCAGGGAAGCAGGGAATATCCTGGCTTCCAGGAAGAAATGCGCTCAGTGCTTTTTCCATTCAAAACATTTTATAGCTACTTCTTTTGTGTGAGAGAAACTTATGGAGATATAGACAGAGAAGACTGGTTAAGTAGAAATGACATAAGCTAACAGTGTAGAATCCCTGATCTTACATCAGAAGCCATTCCTCTATCCTCCCATCAGCAAGTTGTTCCCCTTGTGTCATATGGCCACAATAGAACAGAAGAGATTTTATTGTCTAAGAGTAACTGGCATTTTCTTCCCACAAACTAGAAGGAACAGCTGAAAAAGCAGCTCACTCACGTGAGCTCAGGAGGGTGCTATCCCACTCAAAGAACGCCCAGCCCGTGTTACCTGGGACCAAGCCCGACTTTGTACGTACCCTTGGGTCCTTTTGGAGTAGAGTATGTGGGACTGTCCCAGGTCGAGCGGCGACATCAATAGGGTTGGATGTCTACAAATTAATTAGACCACAGCTTAGGAAGCATAGAACACGTAATGTGAAAGTAAGATCTTTCTTTCACTCTCAATTAAAGTCAAGTGACTTTTTTGTGTGTTTCATTCTGGAATATAAGAGTTAACAGATTCATTTTTTTTTCTCCGTGATCAGACATGTTCTTCATGAGGAACTGCTCCCTATTTTCCCAGGGGGCCATGGCCAGAGATTGCCCTCTCCAGCAATGGCATCTAAAATGGAGAGGCGACCGTGGACATTTCATAACGAAAAGCACATGACCAAAAAGGGGACCAAGACGTGCGAGCACTGCCCTGAAATCCATCTTCTTCCGAATCGCTGACAACCCTGTCATTGCGTTCTGCTTGTATCACCAAACATTCCAAGAAATCCTTAAGTGAACACCATCATCATTTGCTCGATCAGGTGCTTCTCATCAGAATAACTGAAAGCATTTTACAGACATTAAGCTAACTCCCTAAATTTTAACTGGCAGACAATAACAAGGAATTACACTCAGTAATTACTCATTAAGCAGTGGTGGAAATGGGACAAGAGAACCTAATTTAGGGACCACACAGATCTACTATTAAAGGATTTCTAAAGTAATTCTGCTTCATCTTTCTATTCCCACACCATTCCTAAATCTCATTAATAACACTAACCTTATCTGTAGGCTTTTGTCCTTTGAATTAACAACAACAGCAACAAAAGTATAGTTCCGGCACGAACAGTCACTACTCTCTGGTGGGTAAAGGATTCAGAAATTTTTCCACCAGGTATTCTATTTAAGAAATCGCAACCTCTAGAAATCACACTAGGAAGTTAACTTGTGGGGAAAACGAGCTCAGGTTTAGGCACAAAGCTTGCCTACACGGAGAAGGAAAAAAAGAAAGAAAGAAAAGCAATCAGCTGCTGTACAACTAACAATTAAGCTGGAGTTGTTAACAGCCTGATTTGCATACATATGAAGAACTCTACTAATGAACTGCAATCTACATATTCAATCAGTAAGATGGCCTGGAAAGGCTTATTTCAACACCAGGAGAGACACTTTCTTGCCCAGATGTAGTTTTCTGTGTGATTGGATAATTGTGAGTGAGGGAAATAGTCTAATTTATTAAATGACCTACTAGTCTGTTTGGGGATGCAGGAGAGATTCGTTGCAACCTAGAGGGGACCGACCAGGGTCTGAGGGAGTACTCAAGAGCAGATCGGGGGAAGGAATTTAAAAATCAACATCATTTTATCCCATCATAGGAGGTGTTTAACATGGCCACCGTAAAAGCCCTGCGCATGTATAATCTGGCTTATAAACTGCAATCCCACGCAGGTAATTGTGATTTCTAAGGGGTCGCCATCTCACCCCTAATGGTTTTTAATTTCTTTTCCTATTTCTAGTATTAAGGCAACATGCCTCTGGAAATGTAATATGTGCTCATCCTGGGGGACTCTGGCCCAAAATTGGTGTTTTGTCTTAGAAATGAGATAGAAAATAAAAAAAAGAAAACCAAAATCACACACAGCAAAATTTCCTACTTTGAAATCTGAGAATGGTTATTAATATGAGAAATATATTTTGCTTTTTTGTAATAAGGTAAAACTGGGACTGTAGTAGATTTAAAGTCACAAAAAAGGTAGAATGTTCCAAGAATTACTCCTCAGTACTGACCGTCAGAGATAACTGTAGCCCAAGTTGAGTAGTTTATCACTGGCTGGGTAGAAAAGAATGTTGTTTTATAAAGGGTAAAAGGGTAACAACACCAGGATGTTAGTGATGGCAGAGCCTTGACCTAGGCAAGTGCGAGGATGGGTGAGGGGTGTGAGGACTGAGAGAGGGCAGAGAGAGAGTACAGAAGAAGGCAGGTGCTGCCCTCCGTCTGCAGGTGGACTCTATGTACAGACAGATGGGGCTGAGGGGGCAAGGAGAGAGAATGAGAAGCATCTTCCTTTCCATAATTAAAAGGATACCATTCTAGTTTGAAACCTTTTTCCTCCCTTCTGTTGAAATCAGTGAAAGCTCAGCTTTGCATCTTTGCTAATAATATATACCCCGAGGACAAACTGGTGCATATATATCTGACATTTCACAGAATTCCTGACCAGAAACTTATGTCCACAATATTAGTGGAAAAATATATATTTATTCTGATATTTTAAAGAGCACGGGAAATCCTAGCTCAACTAAGATTACATGGGAAGTACAAATTGAAAATTAAATTTGGCTGAGGTTTAAAACTAGATGGACTAGAAAAAAATATTCTCACTTTAATCCCAATGGTCACTTTGGATCAGAAAAAAGTTACAGGCGAGAGCATGCAGAACCCACCCACATGCCTAGCCTGAGGCTCCACTTGTAAGTACGCATGTGTGTTCCACTGTAAGGTTTCTTACCTTCGGCTGAAATGCTCCTTGTAGTGAACCAAAAGGGCCAGTGGGTGGAATCATAGGGGGGATGCCCGATACTGCAGGGGGATAGGAATGGAAGAGCTGTGGCCAAAGAAGGAGAGGGAAAAGCAGCTTTTAGTAGGACGCAAATGAATGTACTCCAATTCCCTTCCCATGGAAAGACATCGACGTTAGCAAGCCAAGTCATCTCAGTTTGATGCTATTAGTCAAAAAGCCACGATGAAATGATCACACAGATGTGCCATGAATGCTTAACTTAAAAACTCAAAAGTAGTTCAGAATCAATAAGCCAACAAATGATGTCCCAGATGAAGATATCATTAGAAAGGGAGCTTTTCTAATTATTAATTGTTAAATCAGATAAAAGTCCTAAATGGTTGAAAATTTTAATGCATATCAAAAACAGGAGGGGTGCTGAGCCAAATAAGATGCCCAGAAAATTACAAGTTAATTGGAAAAAGAAAAAAAGAGAAAGAAAAAAATAGGAAGAAAAAGAAGTACGTCTTTATGAGTTCCAGGATTTTATACCATTAAAACTCAATTAGTACTTTTCGATTTTTAATAGTTTGAGGAAATGAGAAAATATTCACAATCCTTGCTTCATTAGGTTGTTCTAGAAGTGGCAGTTCCGGAGGACAATTTAATTGTCTCATCTAAAATGATGACACATATTTGTGGAAGGGTAAAATGACAGTATACACTTTCGGTGGAGCTACCCATCCCTCTGTAAAACGGACAAGCTCAGCGGAGGCTCCTTGAACCGAGCCCTGTATGTGTCCATCCGATCACCCAGTGAAGGGAGAAGAGCGATTCTGAATTAAGAATACGAACTTTCTTGAATTAATAGTTTATAGAGGACACGAAGGAGGAAAGAAATATGCAGCAAAAGTGAAGACAATGCAAATGCATCTTTCCCTCCTTCTGAAAATTTCGTATTCCTGAGATTCTATCGCTCTGGTTTCATTTACTTTGCTCAAACTACCACACAGATATTTAAGTAACATTCCACCCATCTGGATGCATAATACGTCAAAAATATAATAATAACTTAAGCTTTTCCTAATAATGTCTTTAATGTTAGCTATTTCTAGGTAATGACTGAAATCCACATTTCACAATCCTGTTTTCAGAGCACGTTCTTTTTCTGTTGGTCTTTATTTCATTTTGCTCCCTTCAATGATGCAGCAAAGTTTTTCAGACTAATTGATATTGAACTAAATCCACTTAAACAGTGATTGCAAGCCAAGTGCCCTCATTTAGAATTACTTTTAAGTCTAAAATTGTGTTTTAGATACTCAAGTGCATAACATCTTAATTCCTCTTATAATGTCCTAATCCCCATAGCAGGAGAGACTAAGTACTTCATATATTATCTGCTATAACTAATAATATGAAATAACTCTCCCACAGTACACTGTGTGAAGCAGAGTAATTAAATACATGCCATACTAAAACACACTCAAATTTCTATAACTCTGCCTCCAGGTAGGAATTTTTCCTTTAATGTTTTCAATAAAAAACTGGATGCTCTCACCATTTTCCTTTTGCCTGATTCCATTACTGGGCCTCTTAGAATATAGCTGACTATTCCCTTCTTGACTAAAAAGCTGAAGTACCTGAGTAATGAAACATAAACCTTCTGAAAATCCAGGCTTATTTTCCATCTTAATCTAGAACTCTCTATGGAATATGCATATAAAAAGACACTGCATTTGGTCCTAGGAAGTAAATCTGAGCCACCTGTTGAGTACCCTAAACTTTCTCTAAGATGAGTTTGTTAGCTGGTCCTCAATTTAAATTAGCAAGGACAGAAATCTGATGATTATTAAGATGGCATCATTCATGGGACAGACCCAAAGAGGAAAACCACGGGTCTACTAAATTTTCATATCTATTTAAAAAATGCTTTTGTATCACAGTACTGACTGAGCAGATCAGTGCTAGAAGAGTGTGGGGGCCCAGGCACGCCAATACACTTTCCTCATCCCCTTCTGAAGACCCCTTCCTCATGTTATTTCTGAATATCTTTAGAGTGCTTCTTCATTGATTTCTAGTCTTGACTTCTCAGCTACACTCAGGATTAACACAGCGTCTGACTACCTGGTTCTAAGTATGAAGGAATTCACAGCCTTGGCTGGTGTATTAAGTAGCACTTCTATTCAAATGATAACACTATCCAAAAATCAAAGCGAGAATGGTTGAGTATGGTGAATCAACATGGCTATAAGCAATTACTAATCTTCTTTCTTCCTGGTTTCATTTAAAAAAGGTAAATAACCCACAGAGCAAAGAAACTTGCAAAATTTCAGGTAAAAATGATGCAGTATTCACTCCATAATCAAAATATCAAGGTAAGATGTTCAAGGTCTTTGTATTAAAAGTCCTTGTCTATTGAGTAACCGAACACACAACAGCTTTTAGGCTGGTACCAATTTAAATTTCAGACCATATTCTTAAAATTGCACAAACAGCTATTCTTTTTATAAAGAAGAATGCTCAAAGAGAAAAAAAACCATTCGTTTCAATTTTAAGACCTTTTATTTAGATACCTTTATTTTCAATTGTAACAAACTCAGGAGAACAGTATCAGCCAAGTGGAAGAGGGTTCTGCATTTAGTCTAGAGGAAATGAAAATCTGCTTTTTTGAAGAGTTATGAGTCAAAAAGATAAGAGACTTTCTATGTAGGAAATAATTCAAGTTGAATCCCAGGAATTCTGTGGTAATGACATTTCTACTGATGATTGAAATCCTGTGATTTCAGACTCTCCTGAAACTATAGTGATTCAGCTGCAGACACCCCACTTTGCAGGACAGAGCCTGGCTTCCAGTGAAGTTCATTCAACTTTGCTTGTAAGTCTTAGGAGTGCTTATGATCTTTTGATTCAGAAGATGATACTGCATCTTTACCAAAAGCAAATGTCACGAAAGCAAGCATCCAAAGTGACAAGGAACAATGGAAATTCTTGCAAAGATGATTAAGGAAAGCTGCTAGTCATTTACTGATCTGTGGCGAAAGCACAAAAAAATGGAAAAGCAGTTACAGTGAATGTGTAGCATGGTAACAAGACTCACACTGTGCCGGTAGAATGGGTCAACTTTTGTAGGGTATTTGTCAAACTGTAAAGGGATCAAAGCAAAAGCTAGTTACTTAAAGAATCTACATTTCTGTTCACTGCTTTAGCGGAGGTTGCCCTAAGCAAGCTTCTGGTCATTAGCTGTCATGATACTCCACAACTTCATCGCATGTGAAACCATCCTGAGCTCCTGAGTCACTGACAAGAAACTAACAAAAATGGAAAAACAGAGCGAGAGCCCACACGGTACATTTAGGTCCTGGCCGCACTACTGTGTCTCTTTCTACTGTGTATTGAGAGAGTGGCACAAACCGGACATCTGAACTAGAGAAAAGAAGCAATGATTCAGATACATCGGAGAGGAGTGAGCATTCGGTCTGATTTGTCCAGAGAATTCCCTCCACTTTCATCTTCGCTTTGGAAGCACTGTACATTCAGCCGTCTTCTGAAATGTCTTACATGCAAATACAAAGCTGTTTGGCCTAAGTCTTACAAACTAAGAAAAGAGTATACCCTTGTTTCCTCTAAATAATGCATTTCTGGGTGCCGTAGCTCCCCTCCGTTCGGTTGAATGTATTTGTGAAACGCCTCCCTCGGGCAAAAAAAACTCTTTCCCAATAAAGGGCTTTAAAAAATATAACTGTTGAGAAGTATAGTTCCTCCAGAGAAAAAGATACAGGGCTTGCTATAGGAAAAACCTTTGGTCCCAACACCTCATCTCTAAACTTCTAAATAAAATCTGTAAAATAAATTTTAGAATATGTACTTTTAAAAATTAAGTTGAACAAAATGGAGGAGGAAGAGGGAAGAAAGGAAGTAAAGTTTGGTGAAGGAAATGCTTCTTAAAATGATGGAATTCAAATCTTTTCTCTTCGTACCTATATTATTTGCCTTAAAATTAAACATTTCCTTTAATATTGGAAAACTAAGCAAATAAACCACTCTAATACTCACTGTTATGAACAGGGCTCTATTTCAGGATATTTAGCATCCTAATATGGCACTATTCATTACAGATCCTAAGTTTAAAAAAAGTCCTAACTGGTTCTCCCGAGATGTGCTAGTCCCCAGTCAAAACCAAGACCGTGGTCATCACCAGTGGTACCTCCTACCACAGCCTGAATTTTGTCTCTGCAAGGCCAGTGGCTCCCTGACCATTTGCTGACAGAGCACAGTACCAGACTGGGGCACTGTCTTACAAAATACAAGAAATTAACACCTCTAACCAAGGAGGTTTGAGGAAACTATCTGGAAGGGTGGGCAGGGTGCCCAGTACACTGCAAATCTGACTGCGCTCTCCCTTCCTCAAGCCTCTTTTAAAGTCCTGGTACTCTGTGAGCATTTATTTGTTAGTACTTGGTGCAAAGTACTACATTTTTATATCTGGTGGCAATCCCTCAGCATGTTCAAGAAAACAGAATTACTCTGAGTAAAGTTAACTACCAACTTTGAGGGCATCTAGAATAAAATCCACCCAGAGTGCCAGCTAGGTATGTCTAGAGAAAAGCTCCTACTTTAGGCTCCAGGTTAGTGCTGGCTGGGGCAGGACACATCCTCTTCTTTCCAGCAAAGATGGACAAACGAGCATCTGAGATGGCTATCGCTACCCCTCCAAACTCCTGTTCCCAACAGCCCATTCCAATCCCACCATGCTGCACAAAAAAAGAGTCGTGCTCTACTTATCCTCACATTTCTGCCTGGGGTACGCACCATGGGAGGTGCTGGCGTCGGCATGATGGCAGTGGGCGGGATGGCGTGGGGGAACGGCGTGAAGGTGTGCTGGTGCGTGTGCTGGTGCGTGTGCTGGTGCTGGTGCTGGTGCTGGTGGAACTCGGTCCGTAGGTAGGGCGGAGGGCCCAGGGAAGCCCCACGGTCAGCACTCTGAGAGGCCAAGAAACGTGTGTTCAGTTCCTGTCGCAAGATGTCTTGCTCTGGGGGCGGGGGGGAAATAAAAAAAGGAGAGAATGACACTTTTCCTTGTAACAGTAACTTCCTTGTGAACAGGACATCCAAGTACCTTATTAGGGAGGGATCGAGACTGAGGGACAGGAGATGGGGCTCTCGGGGGGGAAGCTGGGCCCTTAGATGCAAGGGGACGACCAGTCAGGCGGACAGTAATAAGACCCAGTCACAATCTAATTCTTCTGACTAGCCTCCTGGCTTTTAAGGACAGAAGATCTGTCAGTGTGGTGTGCTGACCGACTCCAGGCAAATGTCAGGTCAATTTTCAGCTCTGTTACTGTCAGGTGAATGACCCTGGGCATGACTAATCACCCCTCCTATCTCAGTTTCCTCATCTATTATACGGAGACGATATTGCCTGCCTCATGGGTTTATTTTGAGGGTTAAAGGAATTTACATTTGTAAGTGCTTAAGAACAGTGACTGGCATACTAATTAACAAATGTCAGCCATTAACATGGCAGAACTTTCACGCCCTCTTCAAGGGTAAATCTCTGCTTTACAGTTCTCTGTATTAGTGGTTGAACAATGAACCCCAGCTTGGGACACCCAGACTGATTAATACAGGTGAGGAGAAAAGGACCCAATATCTAATCCTAGGTTTATCCTTAAAAATTCTGGGACATATTGCCATGACAAGTCCATCTGCCCCTCTCCCAGGAGAAGACAGAGGGCCCCGTTCAGCTGTTCAGCTAAAAGAAATCCCTCAAACTGGGGTGCAGTATAAGAGCCTGGAATGAAACAGACACGGGCCTGGGAAAGCTTTTGTCACTCTAATTGGAGCCTGGCTGACGGGGCACAGACAATGTGTTTCACCACTTTATCGGTGGTGAACTCAGTCGGAAAAGCCTCATGGTTTCAAACAAACCCGTTCTCTTTGGCAATGTCCCATTCACCTGGCTTGTGGCTAAGCTGGTACGTACGGGTGCTGGTAGATATCTTTGCTGAACCTCAGCCCAGAAAGGACTGATTACAAGAATACATCCAATAAAGCAGAACATCGTAAAAAGATAAAACCTCGCAATCAGGAACAGCAGGTGAGGCCAGGAGCAAGGGGGAGCGGGAGCGTAGGTAAGCGAGGCCGCGCCTTCACCCTACCTGAGTAAGTGCTCCCGGCTGGGTGTCCGGGGACCTGCAGGCTCCCTGATGTCAGCGGTGGTGGAGGAGGCAGAGCCGTGGGAGGGGCAAACATATTGGGGTGGTGGGAGTGTGCGGGGGGCTGGAGGGTGGGAGAGAAGCTGTGCAGGGGGCTGTGGTTGGGCAGTGAGAGGGGGAATGGGGAGGCCGCGGGGTGGTGGGAGATGTGGGGGGGCGCTGGTTGAGTCTTCGCTGGAGTGCTGCTTCTGCTGCTGCTATTGGAGGACAAAACAAACAAACAAACAAAAGGGAAACAAAAAGAAACAAATTTAAAAAGAGGTAAGCAATTAATTTTCTTATAGAAAAATCCCATCTCCCTGCCCAAAGCCATTCGACACCTTTTCTCTTGCTCTTCCTCCTTACAGAGCCCCCGTGCGTCTCCTGAAGTCACTGCTGCAGACACAGTGACTAGAAACGGCGGCTCCAGAGCTACCGCACGTCAGTGTCCACACAGCTGATTCTGCCAAAGCCTCCCGTCTGCTCTCCCCTCTGTGGCCAGGTTCTCACCTCTGTCCCTAGAGTCCCACGCTTCCCATCCTCCACTAGCCACATTTCCTATAAAACAATACAATTAACAAAAGGGAGTGAGGACGAGGGCCTGCGTTCATGCTGTCTCACCCACTACCTCGGGAATGGAGCGCAGGGAGCTCGAGTTCCCTGTCACCTCTATTTGCTGAAGGCCACGGAAATGGCTTCCAGACTGAAGATGGGCCTGGCCGCCTGGGGAAGGCCATCGCCACCCCACCCCCCAAAACAGGCTGTTTCCTCACCTGTCACAGAGAGGACATGGCAAGTCCCTGAACCGCCAAGGTCACCAGGTTGTCACAGGAGAACAAGAGCAAAGATGAGAAGCCCCACGTGGTGTGAGAGACTCGAATGACAACCCCTGGGACACCAAGCGTGGGCGACACGCGGCGCCCCGGTCTCTGTCTCCCTTTCCTCTGCAGCTCTCCTTTGTGCTGCTTAAAAATCTTTCCTTGGTGATTTGGCAAAACGGGACAGGAGAGGGCCTGGCTCTCCGTGCGCGAACTCCTCTTTGTCTATGCCCAGCGTGTTTCTTCTCTACCTCTCCGACTCAGCTTAGAGGAACTTAAATCACAATGAAAAAAACCCTCAAACCAGACTACTCCTTGGTCCTAACCTTCCTACCTCTGGAGTTGCGGAGAGATGTAGCTTCGTCTAAGGATCTCATAACACTCAGTGGTCTGTGAAGTGCCCCAGGATTCGATTCCTGGCCTCTCACCAGAGGTGGGCTCCTGGGCACAGAGCCCTCGCCTCTGTTTCTTGAGCATTCTCCTTCCTGCCTTCACTCAGGAGTCTCTGTAGATACTTCAGTTCTTTGCAATGTCCTCACCACCCAACCCTGCCTGTCCTCTCCCAAGAGACCCGAGTCTTACCTGATGGCCCCCTTACGTCTCTGCCTCAGAGAGAACACGACAATATTTTCAACAAGGAAACTCCAATCTCCCTGGGGACCCCTTACCCACTACTACCTGCCCCAACCAAAGAAGATGGCAAAAAAAGGGCAAGTTGTCTCACCTTAAACTGTTGAGGCTTAAGCTACTGCTGTTGTAGGCTGACAATGGTTGGGAGAGGCTCTGAGATGAGGGGTGGGCCTGCACAGGTGGGAGACTCTGATGGAGCAGCTGGGTGGGGGACTGTGGCCGGGGTGGCCTCTGCACCTGAGGCTGTGGAGCGGGCTGCAGCTGGGCCTCTGCCGGGGCCTGTGGTGGCTGTGTGCTTGGACGTGTGGGCTGAGGCAGGGCCTCTGTGCGCTGCACCAAGTCAGGGTCCGGCGAAGGCGCTTGGGGCTGGGGCTCCGCCTGGGGCTGGGGTAGCGGCTGCGGGACCTGAGGGCAGGGGTCTTTAAGCACCACGGGCTCAAAGATCTGCTCTTTGCCACAGTCCTGGCTCTTCTCCTGGCTTCTCTCTAGACCCGATATCTTGGGGACAATTGGCCCTGCATCCTGGCTGTCATGTTCAGGTAGTGTGCCAACACCTAACTCCGGATCTGCATGGGGGAGAGCAAAGACAAAACCAGAGGCAATGGCATGTGAGTGTGAAAAAGCAGGGGAAAGCGAATTCCAAGAGCAGGTCACACAGTGCCAGTGATTCGGCCCAGTGCCAATTCTGACCCTCCTATCCTGTCTTCACCACGTGTGGAAGATGGGGGGTTGGAACATCCTTTGCCCCTCTAGCAGCCACACCTCTAGTGAGAGAAAGGGGAACCAGCCAGAGGAGGCTGCATTCCATTAAGCAATCTTGGCCACTGAGAGTCTGAAAATGAATGTTTTCCTTAATCTTGGCAAAGCCTTTAATGGGGCAAAATTAAGAAACAATAGCTGACAAGTTGATTTTTTCCCTTTTAAAACAAATACAGTTCTTGGATATACAAAAGAGAAGTGTTTTCAATAGCAAATGAAACAAATATTATTGAACCATACACAGATGTTTCTTCTTGGCCTTGCTTCCCTCCCTGCTTTCCATTTTGACAGAAGAGACACACTTCACATTTATTGAAATTATTTTTTGTTCAGCAAGTGCTAGACTTTGGTCAAACGTCAGGCCTCCTAATGTTCACCAACTGATCCTCGCAACATCTGAGATCAAGGGTGCAAACGTGAATCTCAATCAAATTTACTGTCAACTACACATGCTAGAGCTTTTAAAGGATCCCCCCTGGACCATGCAGGGAGTCCTCACCCAAGTGAGCACAGGGGTGCAATGCTAGATGTTGAGACTGAGACTTGATGTAATATTTAAGTACAATTCTATAATCATAAAAGAAAGTTGGAAAATAGAAGCTCCTGTATGAATTCAAAAGATACGCGTACCTCCAAGGGTCAAAAGACCTATGCCACATCTACTGTACTGGTTATTTGATTACCCCGTAAGTCAAATTCCATAAATTTCTCTAACAGAGTAATGAAAGACAAATATGACATTAAATATAAAGGAATGGCCCTATTTATGTGTAAGTACTTTTGTATACATCTAGAGGAAAGTCTCACATTTTTGTTCCAAAAAATCCAATCTCCTCTGAAATGAGAGTGTGCTTCAGGCATTCCTTCCTAAATGAACTGCTTTGGGCATGAACTTTCTCTCTCTAGCTCACTGCATCAAGTGTAAAGAATCCTTGGCGTTCTCTCCAGTCCTACGAATTCCTGTCGATGTATTAGCGTATACACGCTTGTCATTTTTAATTTTCCCTGAAATCTGCATCAAAGCAAATCCCTTATTTTCAATGTTCTTTTGGTAAAAACAGATCAAACCTGTGACATGCATCAAAGCAAAAACAAACTGTAGGTTTATAAACAAAGCATATTTTTGGCTAATATGAACTTGGCTATCTTCAAGTCCCATCAACCAGCCTGGGACACTTATACCCACACGATGCAAAGAGGTCCCCTCTTCACAGGTTTCAGGTGCAAAAGGATAAAACACCCAATAAAGCGCTGGTAAAAAGTAACTCTGGACTTCTGACATCCTACTCATACATATTTCTTTCCAGTACTGTCTTGAGAATCTTTCTAGGAAGATTTTTGCTTACTATAAGCTGAAATTTTTTTTAGTGAATTCCCAACTTAAGGGCTATAAGAGAACATAAAAATCCTTGACGTGGACAGACCCCATTCAGCCAGAAGAGCTCCTAAGTCACAAAGGAAGACCCTTTATGTGCTGACTACCATATCCAAGGGTACTAGCTCTGCTTCTGTCTCTGTTCTTTCCTATCATTTTCACAAGACTTTCCACAGCAAGTAATTACATGAGCTCACTGAAAATCACAGGCTGCATACATTGCAGGCTGGCTAGTTAAGTCAGGGGCAGAAATCTTAACAGCACAAAATAGATTTTTCATTCCCCTCAATGAGAGGAACCTCCCCACTCTGACAACTAATTTAGGATTCTTAAGCCTGCTACAATTGCAGGAACACATTACTGTCCTTTGGTACTGCTTTGTTCTCTGTGAACTAGGATGGTAAAAAATAAACACAGCAACATTTTCTATCTCATTAAGTTTAACTTCAAATTCATGATCTCCCTCCAAAAAGCAATGTCCAGACAAAGAAAGTTTGACATAAAAGAAAGTTTCCTTTTCCAAGGGACACCACCCAGAGGACAGCATTTACTTATGCTGGTGAGGAAGCCCATTAGAAAACAATAGATAAGTGCTTCGGGTATCTTGCTTGACTATATCTTTCTCCTTGTTCATTATTTAATGAGCCTCAAGAATATGGACAACACAGTCAAGTTTCCAGGAGGCATCGTGCAGGCTTGGGCTCGCATCCAGGCTCAGTAAAGGCAGACGGAGTTGGCTTTCACGTCTCCTGTCGCCCCATTGTCTCACTAGCAACCTAAACACTGTTAGAGTGAGAGGTATGGGTGAGCCCGCAGAGTCATCCAAATCACCGACAATAAACACGGTACACAGGGAAGACCCCAACCTCTCCAGCAAACGCTGCAAATTTGTATGAAACGGTATATGATGAATGACAGGGAACCTACGAGGCCAGGAAGTTTGGTATAAGACCAGAATCTGGGAGACCATGCCAGCCCTTCTAGAACTTTACTGTGCATATGAATCACCTGAAGATCTGATTAAAATGCAGATTTGGAATCAGCAGCCCAGGGGTGGGGTGCTAGGGTCTGCCTTTCTGAGATCTTGCCATGTGATGCTGATGCTTGAAGTATTCTGTGAGTAGCAAGGCTCTTATCCAACCCTCTCTGACTAGATGGGGAAGAAGCCCAGAGAAGTTGAGAGTGCTGCTTGCTGGAGGTCACTGGGCTATTTATTTAATAAATCAGACAACTTGAGTCCTAGTGTTAACTCTGCCACTGCTAAGTGCCTTTTCTCTGATTTACACTATGCTGCCCTCTACGAAGCAAACACCCTAAAACAAAACAGGTAATGGTAACTCCAGGATTCAGTTAAAGTATTTATGTACAAGCAGACAGTGTAAAGGGTTAGGAAGGCTACAAAGAGTTGCTGGAACACTGCCCTTCAGCTAAACCTAAAAGCTATCGTCAATCCATCAACGTCTTGGTGCTGCACCCTGTAAGCAAGACAGAGATAGGTTTGAAGGCTGGTAGGAACTTTGGGACTGAAACAGTTTTATGACTCCTCATTTACAACAGTCTCTGGAGGCACAGATTAGGCGTCATGCGTTTTTGCAGCTAATCGGTAATGCATTTCCTCTTCCTTTCAATTATTCAATAAATGTATCTTCCCAGTTAAGCTTTTCCATCTTGACAGTCAATTTGTCTTACCGTGCTTCTCCAAAATTGGCAAGAACACATTTAAAAAAATCATTTTGTAGTGCTCTGTGTGCTCTGAATTTGCCAAAAGGATGAAATTTGCTGAGGTTGAAAGAAATAACGTGCAAATTGACTAGTCTTATTTAGAAGTTTTATTCATTACATTTTCAGGTTTAAAAATCTCTTCTTGTGATTATAAAAATAACACATCATGCTTATAATAAAAGGCATGCAATTTAAAATTATACTGCATAATATACAGTAGAAAAGGTGAATTTAATACATGCAAATCATCCTCAATTTGACTCGAACACAATTAATTTAAAAAAAAAAGGATAGATTAGGAAAAAATTTGTTTGATTTTGATACAAATTTGATACAAATTCCCTGGGAAAAATGGGTCCTCTTATATTTTACTAGTAGAATGTAAACTCTACTACTTCTGTGGAGGGCAATTTGGCAACAGTTAGTTAAAAAACCACTGGATTTCCCTCGGCCTGGTGTGTTTGGATTTGGTCTATAAACAATGAAACATAGTTTGAATTGCAAGTTTGGAAACAGTTCAAAATGTAATCATTAGGGGACTGGTTAAATATAAATTTGGTATGTCCATACCATGAAAATACTGTAGCTATAAAAATGAATGAGGAACTCTGTATGATAATGTATAGCATATGCTAGTTTTTATGATCAATGGAAAAAAAACTATATTATTTTTTACATTATGCATAAAGCTCTGGAAGAATACCCCAAAAACCAATAGCAGTGGTTACCTATTTGGGGACTTGGGGAGGAGTGAGAACTAGACAGACAGGAAACTGTAGGAGAAGGAGGTATTTTACTGTGTGTGTGTGTGTGTGTGTGTGTATTTAAATTTTTGAATCATGTGATCATGTTACCTATTAGAATTTTCATAAGAAAATTGGTCTTACATTTCAAAACAGTCTGAGCAAGAAAGAAAAAGAAAAAAAGAAAGAAAGAAAAAGAAAAGCAAATAAAACTGGGAATTCGAATAGTGGTATGACTATAGGCATAGAGAGTATAATGCATATAAATAACATATAATGTGCAAGTTTCAAATAATAATTCTTTAAAAATGGATTTTATGAAAAAAATATCAATGACTAAAACTGACTTAAAAACAAACCTGGTCATAAAAATAAATTGAAAACCTACTCAATAATCAACACTTCAACCTTCAAAAAGGTACCAGGTGCATATAGTGTTATAGACAACGTGGACTAAACCTGTAAGAAACAAATTATTCCTGTCATTTAAGTTGAAAACCAACAGCAAACAAACAGCAAAAGTATTATTTACAAAAAATATAAATACAGCTAGAAAACAGACAACCCACGGAAAAAAATATTAAAACTAATAAGAGCTCAGTAAGATATCTAAATAAGGGAAAACCACATCTTTTCTATATACCAGCAACAGTAAAAAAAGGATCACATTTACGATAACAAAAATCATGTAATACTTGTGAATTAACCTATAATTCCCAAGGCCTATAAACTCTCAGGAATTCTTAGAGAACTCATAGATTCAGGGGTGTTTCACAACGCAAAGGAAAACAGAAAGAAGTCAAAGCCACATAACCAGTGGTTCTATTTCAAGGATACTGGCCCTAGGGGGAGTTTTAAAATCTGTGGGAGTGTGTTTGGTGGTCCCAGTGAGTGGAGGGCATCGGTGAGACGTGTTGCAGCGTGAAGGTCAACCTCACACAACGTCTCGACTCACTTTTCAAGTCCC